ATTCAGTTATTTATAACTTACATCAGGATGTAGTGATGGGCAAACAGAAAAGATAAATCTCAGAATTGCCATCAGTCAACATGGTTGCATTGACACTGTCTTGCCTACATAAATTGGTTGACTATCATAATTACATCTTGATTTAGCCTTTTAAAAAAACTATATCTACTTGAGGGATTTCCTGGCTTTATATGAACTTGTCCAGAAGTAGAAGTAGCCTTTTAAAGATGTTCCTGCTTTTTGATGTCTATGTGTTAGGCCCAAAGGAGAAGATCTTCTCTTACATTTTTCTCAAACTGAGAATATTCTTAAAGATCACACTCAGCTTCCATACTTTCTGTTTTTGGGAAAGGCATCAAAAATTGCTTTAAACAGTCCTTTTTAGTTTAATCTACTTCAAATTGCTCTATTATCAGGGGTTGGCAATTTTTTTCTATGTATGGTCCAGAGTCCATGTATCACTAGTACCATTTCCAAATTGTTCTTCTGGCCATGTTGAAGCATCCGGTAAAACTGTTACCAAGATGGTCACCCAAGAAGATGCTAAGTGCTTTCTTTCTTACAGGCTGGGTAAATATACTTATTTGGATGACCAAAGGCAAGACGATTTCAAGGAACAGGTCACATCCACCCTATTGGACATAGGTGGCTTATCCCGGCTCTATATGGTACTCTAAGGAGGTGGTGCCATGGTTAGAATGCAGTATTGCAGCTGACTGCCCAATGCCAGGAGTCTGATCCTGACTGGCTTCATCCATCCTTCCATCCTTCTGAGATCAGTAAAATGAGGACCCAGATTGTTGGAGGCAATATTCTGACTTTATAAACTACTTACAGAGTGCTGTAAAGCATTGTGGAACAGTATATAAGTCTAAATTCTAGGGCTATCATTCAATTTTTATAATATTATGTTAACATTTTATTGCTGTAATAGTTCCTTGAATGATCTAACAACAACAAAAAAGATACAAATATAATACAATAATTATACTATGCTATAGCTCATTCGCTCGTTGTTTTTACATTTCTCTTTCAATTTTCCATCTCAAAATGGCTATCAGAAGTACATAAACCCTTGAACATAATTAAATGGCACAAATAAATATTGGAATCAATCTAAAGGAAATGAAAAGATCTAGTTTCCATGGCGAGTCTTAAGTCCATCTCCAAAAGACAGAGACTGGGAATCAAACACCAGTTCCTAGAGATTGAACTACGTTAGGGAGCCTTCTTACAAACACCCAATAAACAGGATTCTGAATGCAAAGGCATTTTTAAGAGGACCTTGCCTGCAGATCTTAATGCATGAACAAGTTTATAATGACAGAATTATGCCTTAAGCTATTTTAGACTTAAATCAGCACATTAAATTGTGTCACAAAACAATTGGAAACATATACAGATTGCCCAGTTCAGGCATATGATCCTAGTATTGTCACCAGTGAGCTGTTTTGTTGCTGCATTTTGCACCAATTGAAGTTTCTAAATATTTTTCAAAGGCTGCTCAAAGTAGAACAAGTTGTAATATTTTTATCCACTGCTTACTGAAAATGCTAGAAACTTTACAGATAAGCAAAATAATTATGGCTTGTTTAGCCAATGATAACTTCAGCCTTAACTGGTTTTGCCTTGTGTTTCTCTGCATTGATTGGAAACCTGAATGGGGCACAGAAACAAATCAAGAGTAAGCTAAGACACCACAAACCAACCAGCCATCCTTATTTTGATATCTTCCAAAGAAAATAGCAGTTAGTAAAAAAAATAACAAACCCTAGTTTCAAACTGTGGCTTACAGTCATACCCTCCACTCCCTTTATACATCTCATCAACCTAAGAACATATTACTCACTGCTCACTGTAGTATGTGAATTTAGTGATATGTACTCAACTGCCTCTACCCATATTCACAGAGAGCATTGCTTGAAATGGGTTTTATATCCTCCTCATTTTTAATAGCCTATTGTGTTTAACTTTCCTGAAGGGCAATACCTCTACTGACAAGGAGAAAAATTAGTTTTCACAAAATAAAGCTGCATTATGTTCAGAAAAATAGTTTTTTTTAAATGCCCAATCTTCTTGAAATGCAGACCATTCCCTGTTTCCCAAGGGTTCACAGCCAAGCGAACTATTGTTGTATAATTAGAGGGTTGAATTAGGACTGGAAAGATCCAAATTCTAAATCCCAGGTCATTGGCTGACTTTGAGTCAGATATAACCTCAAAGAATTGTTACAAATATAAAAAATAAATGGAGATAACTTTAAGTAATTAAAGAAAAGGTGATATAACAAATAAAATATATACACAGCTAGAAACATTTGGAAGACCCTTTCAAATGGAAACAAGAGATGGACATCAGATTAGAAAAGTTGCTGCTGCATCCAATGTGGGATTAAAGTAGCTGTCTCTTGACAAGTGTCTCTGTGATCTATTACAGATTCAAATCTAGAAATATCTACACCTTTGCCAAGTTTCCCCATTCTCCCATCTCCAACTGCTTCTGAGAATAAAAGCTGAAGGTTCATTAGAAGTCTTTCAGTCTAACTTCCTCCACATAAAAAGGAATAAAAATTGTTGCCATTGGTGGAAAAATAAAATTAGTAGCAGCCATATAATAAATTTGAAGGATAACGTGCACAGCAAAAAGGATATTGTGAATTTATTGGTTAGTTTTGTAAGGAACCTTATTTTCATATAGAAATAGTTTAAGTACTAGATGGTTTAATGCAACTATGTAAATAAAAATTAAAACAATAATACTTTTAAAACTTTGTATAAAATATTGCATGAAATAAATGAGAATGCCTTACCTATCACATATGTCTTGCAGAGTAATCCTAAACCCATTTATTGGAAAACAAATCCAATAAATTAAGGATATTAAGTAAAATGTTCATAGGAATGTAGCCTGAACGTTACACAAATTAATTTTGGCATTAAACCAAAATCTGGTTGACTACTTTAGCCACAGAAATAAAGCATTAAAAAACAAAAAGAAAAGAAAAACACACATTTCCTTCACTTCTACTCAAAGGATTAGAACAGCCTATGCTTTTCAAGACACTTTGACTAACCCAGGCAAATACGTAACATCTCAGATACCGATCAAAATCTGTATTTTGAACCATTGTCCTTCATACCAGACTTGAATGGGCACACCTACTTTAATAATGAATAAGGTGCTACATGGAACAAAACCACCTTCTAAAAGTTCCAGGAGGTGATGTAAAGGATTAAACCTTTTCATCTTGTTTTATCAAATCAAAACCATCATCGCTCTTTGCACACAACCTTGAATCAACTGAGAGTTATTATGCATTAAAAGAAGTTCCAAAAGACTCCATGGAGAGGCCACCTTATTTTGAATGATCTAGCCCTCTTGTACTGATCGAGAAAAGATAAATTTCTTCCCAATGGACAGAGTGTGTGTGTGTGTGTGGGAGGGGGAGACCAATACATCACTGCTATATTAGTCATTTTCTAATTATGGAACTTTATGTATTCCACTCTCAACTTTCAAGAGAGTCAGTCCTTTTTCACCAACCAGCTTTCTCACATTAAGAATTTGTCAAGTTCTTTTTCCTGCTAAACTGAATCCTGTTGATTTCTGCTTCCCTCCCTCATCTTTTGTCTTTCCCTTTTCCTCACCAGTAGCCCAGGACAGAAACTCCACAACAGGAGTTTTGTCCCAGTGCTAGAGATGATCTTCTTGTGCTTGGTAACAATGTGCTGCACAGGCTCAGAAGTAAGTTCAAGATACAATCTGTTATTCCTGATCTTCAGACCCAGCCCACTGCAAGATCCTGGCCTTCTCCCTTTAGCATTGGTAGGATCTGCAGCTACCAGGAAGCTCAGAAAGAGCCAGTAACAACTGCCATAAGGAAGACGCAGTCATAGGGAGGTGCTGGGAGTGGAAGATGAAGCCTGGGCAAGATTGTCTAACTTCCACCTTGCACCCATTTGAAAACGGGGAAAGGAATACAAGGGAGGCCACTGTAGAATAGAGTGTTATGCCTGCACACACAACAATCCCAGAATCACAATGTCCTTTAGGGTTGGTGTGTTAGAACTTCAAAAAAAATGCTAATGTTATTTGATTTATTATGAACATTCTTAAACAGTAGGCTTTATTGCTTATTTCAAGATACCTCTATGTACAACCTAAAGTTTTTCAAAGAATTTTGACATCTTTAATAAAGTGAGTTTTGATTTTACTCTTATTTGAGGATTTAAGGAAGTGAAATTCATAACATTTTATCATGGAGTGGAATATTTTATGCCACATGTACATACAACCTAGTGGAAAAACAAAATAATATTTTTACTTAAAATCACTTCCTCTTACTGGAGGGGGGGGAATATTCCTCTCCCCTGCATGCTCCCTTCTACAATATGCTTATTTTCTAATTCTAGAATCAGGGTGTTTTTAATCCGTCCCTTTGCCCATGCCCCCGTTCCTCACCATCTTATCCCCACCCCCCCGTTTGAAATAAAGAATTCCTAAACTCCATCTTTTACATCTTTCTATCCCAAAATACACATGCAGAAGTCCCAAGAAAACGGGAAGAAGATGGCCGTTTCTGATCCAATATAAAAGCTCTTTTGTTGCATTCACATACAAAAGCCAAGAATCGCGTTTCATATCTAGGCCCTGAAGGACATGAAGGCATTGGTCCTCCAGTTGCTTAGCGCAGAAGTAAAGCTCTTCCCAAAGTTTGGGAAAGTTACACAGAGAACCCAGAGCCAATTATTTCTTTTTTTAAAAAAAAAGAGGGGGGGGATTGGAAAAGAGATTGGGGAAGTTAGTGGAATTCAATAGCTCTCCTGTGGGTTCTATTTAACCCCTGTATTCCTTGTATAAAGGAGGAAATGTAATCGCAGTGCGTCCACCACCGAGATCGTGTTTTGTTTTGTTTTTTTTCTTTAAGGGAAAGAAAACACAACCAACCAGTTGATCCGTTCAGGAGCAGCAAAAGTAGCAAGCTGGCTGTGATCACTTACTTGTCCGTCTCTTGTGACATGTTTGATCCAATGAACTCTCTCCCCTTTTCCAGATGCCTCAGTCTCTCTGGTGAAACTGGACTTTCAAGTCTGTGCAGGTAAAGGTGTGTGTGTGTGTGTGCGCTCGCGTGTGAGAGCGAGCGAGCTCCCGGGACGGCAGAACCAGAGCTACTGGTAATTCTGCTTTTCTTTCCCCCCTCTACTTCTCCCTCAGCCAGCCGCAGAGGTAGGAGTGGGACAGGTAAAGCCCCCTTCTCCCCGCCCCTCGCATGTGGGAAGAAGACTGGCTGGCCTTTTTTTCTTTTGCACTCCCTCCCCCCCGCGGTTTAGGACACCGAGCAGCCAAGCAACAAAAGCTGAAGGCGCCTACAGGTAACTTTCCCAAGAGAAGCTGGATTCTTTCACTCAAGGATAGCAGGCAAGAGGGACGAGCCGCGAGCTGATTGGGTGGAGCGGGCCTTCAGGTGAGCAGCCATTGGAAGAGGCGCGCTCAGGTAAGGCCCTGGCTTAGAACTCGGCGTGATCGCGCCTCTGGGAAGCAGAGCTCTGGCGGTTGAAGGAGCGTGGGGTGAAGGGCGCGGAATTGGGGGCAGGCAGGCAGAGAGAGAGAGAGAGAGACGCTGAATGGGACACTGGGGTAGCAGGGCAGGTGAAGCCCGGCAGAGGAAGCCGCGGGAGGCCGAGCTGCCTGGCCGAGGGCGCGGGAGGAGATGGCCGCTATTCCCGCAAATGGGGGTGGAGGAGAAGACAGACAGAGCGAGGGAGCCGCAGGGTTGCCTAGACTTGAGTTGCGGGGAGCGACAAGGGCCTTTGGCTGGCGGCTGTTTTCCGAGTCCTGAAGCCACCCCGCTGCCCGCCTATAACCTCGCGCCCAAAAGGCAGGGAAGTCAACCTGGAGTCCAGAGGGGAGAGCACCAGGCGCTGCCCGCCCTGTGTGTGGACCTCGGCAAGAGGTTGGGGGATAGCAACGGCCACCTTAAACCGCCTTTTTTTTCCCCACAATACTTTTTTTTTATCTGTTACATAAAGGGCCGTTATTGTCTTTCGAAGTTCCGTGGGTTTTAAACTGCCGCGACAGGATTTGCAGGCCTGCCTATAGGGCCATGAAGGGGGCTGACTTAAATTAAGACGGCTTCTTCATTGCACATCTCAGTTTGTTCGGATTTGCTTGGGGGGGGGCTTTAGCTAGATGGAGCTAGATGGAGAGGAAAAAGGGTCAGCCGCATCCCCTTTGCTTCAACTGAAAACTTTCAAACTGCTTCCTTGGGTAAGAAGAAGAAATATGAATTGTGTGTTTTCTCACCCCGGTGCTGTAATGTTTGCAGTATTTATATCCTTTTGCCTTACTGCCTGACTTCATCCCTGCAAGGTGTGTGATAAATTAGAATTAGTACACACTATTTTGCTTTTTAAAAAGTAAGGTCAGGAGTGGAAATGAACAATAATAAATATCCAGTCCCTAGAGCTTGGATGGATCCTTCATGTTTAGTTCTTTGCATTTGTTTATCCTCTGGTACTTCCACAGAGAACAATCTGTTGTTTGTAAGTATATCGTGGCCTAACAGTGAAATGCAAGGTTTTCCCCATTTTCCAGGAAAGACTATCTAATGTTTGCTACAGACCCTGTCAATCAATGGTGGAAATAAGCAATTCGGTCTGCTATTTTATGTATGCTTATTTGGAAGTCAATCCCTCATAACACTCTGAAAGTGATACCTATGTAAGGAATTTGGTCACTCAGCTGTGGAGAGGAAGAAGAGTTGAACAGATAAAGATTTTAGGGAAATGATCTCTCTCTTTTGATGTAACAGATATGACCATCTGATAGTTATCATTTAATGGGCTAGTAAATAGCTCTTGTGCCCCTATTAGCTTTTATGGGGTAGTAAGAAAGTAACAATGGAATTTACAGCTGTACAATGGGGTGATAATCACTAGTTTCATGGCTTTCAAAAAAAAATAGGGGCAATAGATGACTTCTGGAGGAAAAATCGGTCAATTATTGCAAAGATAAGTATATAAATTGCTGGGACCAAAAATAGGAAATGGAAGCTTTTTGGATGTTTTCAATGGGCAATGTAATCTTAAATTAGATGGCTTTTTATTTCAAATTAAAACTTAATTTACAGAACTTTTTGCAATCAAGTTCTGCTGTTTTAAAAAAAAAATTCCAAATAACACGTTCAGAATATAGCCATGAATTAGGAATTAATATCCTAATTTTAAATACAAGATGGAAATACAAGATGCATATTAGCTTAAAAACTGTGAATCTTGGATCATACTGTACATCAGAAAAGTTCTGTCCAATGTCATATTTATTACTGAACAAGCCCCATTGTGAATGAAAACATAATTAGACCAAATGTTAAGAGAAATCAAGATTTTATCGGTTGCCCAAAAAATAGAAAAGAATGTGATACTTACAAAAGCAACCAGAGTAAATATGTAATCCTAAATAGAGTTTGAATGGAATAAACAAAAAAAATAGAGTGGGAATTGCTAAAAAGCAGGTCGTATACTTTATTACATTTGAAACTCAATGTTTCTATACTTTCACTTTGGTGATTTCCTTTCTCAAACAGATATAATTCTACTGTAAAAAAAACCAAGGTAAAAAGCAACTGTTTCTATATCAATTTAACATGTGTGTAGTTTTTTCCATTTAATAATAGCATTGTTTGGGTTTGCTGTTTAGGGACAGAAAAACAGGTATTCAAACAGGGTTTAATGAGGGTTACAAAATATAATTACAAGTACATAAAATTATGTGTTCTAGAAACATCTAAAACAAATTTATGGGATAAAGATGCTAATAGGTTGTATTTGTATCAAAGCAATGCTGCTAATAAGTACAATAGAAAGAAAACAGATGTTTGAATAACAGTTCTTTTAATATAGGGGAAGCTTACATATGTTTGTGCTTTTCTATTGGTATGTCATTGAAAACTCCTGTGCCAGATTCCAATAAAGAGCACCATGCACAAAGCCAGCTACTAATTTTGCAACAGGTAGCACTTATACTTAATCCCTTATGTATCTTAAAACTTAGCAATCATCTTGTTATATAATTTGTTTTGAAGGGGGTTGTGACTTAGGTCGAGGAAGGTTTATTTATTTTTTTCAGTTTGCAGAAGATAGAAGCTTGATTATAATGGGGTAGGTTGCCTTAATGGCAGTCATTCTTTTTGTGTATATCCATCATGATTTAGGCTAAAAGCAATATTTGACTGGGAGTATCAGGAATTGCAAGCCGAAATAATCTCTTGGTAGGACAGCAAAATTCCTGTCTCTCCATGTTTATGATTTATCACAGCAATTACTTTATGTATTACTGACTTTCTACCCCAGTCTAACAATATTTATGCAGAAGTGAATTCATGAAAAAAAATTTCCATCAGGTGTGTCTGGGATAATGTTACTCAGTTGTTTCTCATCATCTCTATATGGCCAATCAGTTAAGGGATATGAGAATGTACTTAATTTATTAGAGTTCCCAATTCATTACAATTATTCATTCAGTACAAAAACACTTTATTATCACCGTGACTGGCTTCTCATCATATTATATTAGGAATGGTTTCCAAAATCTATGAAATTAATGGTTTCATCATATTATATTAGGAATGGTTTCCAAAATCTATGAAATTAATGTTCTCTCCAGATGAGTTGGATTATCAGAGTTTGATGAAGGTGGGAAGTGTAGTCCTGTTCAACCATCTAAAATATGCCTTATGAATGTTCTTTCATTATCTCCTGGCACTCGGTCTTACCTGTTCAAACATGAATTATCCTAGATTACTTCTCAAAGCAAGAGCAAGAGCAGTTAACACTGCTGTGTGTTAGCTTTAAACAATGCTGTTGTGGTAAATTGTTAACTTTGCCTATTATAAGCAACTGTTGACAGAAACTGGAGACAAAAAAAAAAAGTCATTGATATGGTCAGTTATTAGCACTGTGCTTCCCAAAGGCAAAACTACCTAAATTTGACACATAGAATTCTTGTACTTGCAATTATGAGAATAGTATCAAGTCATTGTTTATTACAGCCATAATACCAGGTACAGAATAAGAATAGTGTTTTTTCCCCATAACATTCCATGAGTAAAACACCACACAAAAATACCCTCTCTTGATGTAATAAAAATGTTGCCCTTTTCTGTAAAGAGAGTAGATTGATGGATTAGATATGCTAGTAAAAATGTAGGCTAGTACTCTCTCTTTCTGTTCACTAATAAATATTTAATGTTGGATATATGTACACTACTTTGAATTTATACATATGACTGCTTTGTCTATATTTCTGAAATTTTAGGTTATGTAATAATTTTTGGTGATAAAGAGTGTTTTGTTGAAATTAACAAAAAAATAGTTGTAATTTGGTTGGCCAATTAACATTACAAAAATAATAAAAACAACAATTGCAATATAAACAAATGAGGGAGCAATATATAATCTGCAAACATTTTAAGATACAAGCACTTTCATCAGTGATGTATTTTCTGATTATCTGAAGTGGGGTAGGAGGCAATGCACTTCTATCCTGCCCTTTTTTTCAAGCAGCCAGGCATTATTATTGTAGATTAGACATAATCACTTGCCTAAAGCTACTGGGTAAATCTTTATGGCTCACTGAGTATTTAAGATCATGTTTCTCTTCCAAAGTGAATGCTTCAGTTGCTATAAAACTTATCTTACCATGTAAGTCTATTAGAAAAGGATATTATAGTAGTATTAGAAATAGCTAGAAGTACAGGAAATGTCTATAGAAAAAGTAAATAACTATGTCAAAGATAGTGTAGTTGTGGTGCTTAATCTATACAGGTTAGAGATTTAGCTTGTATAGAATATGGAATCAGCATGAGAAAATAAAAAAAATGCTGAGTATGAGTAAACGTTAACTACTCCAAACTTTTGCTTTCCAGAATTAATCTTTCTAAAGTGATTAATGTAAGAATAAAAGTGAGGAAGAAACTATGCATGCTCCACAACAAAGATAGAACATAAGTATAATAAATTAGTATTAGTTAATGAGCTCGCTTAACCTCTCGGTGCTAGCATTAGCTTTGTACGCTGAGAGTTGTCATCACATAGATTATTACTTATGTATTTTTGTTTATCCCAGCTCTATTGCTAATCAATTTTGTTGGATGATCTGAAGTTCTATTATCAT